AAAATCTGTACAAAAAAATTTCTGACTTTTTGATTTGGTCGGCAACATCACAAATGAAATACCCAAATCGAGTAAACAAATGTACACAACATCGTTGAGAAGGTAAAGGTCCATCCACCGGTCTCACTAATTACCACAGAATCTTTTTTCAAAGTGATTTATGGTCACATGGAGAGACAGTCCACGCTGACCATGTAGGCGGAGAGATTCAAGAGTTGCGCCTTGCACGCTAGCGTTGTCTCTCCTTCCAAGTATAAGATAGTGGACAGGATAGAGGCGCCAACGAGGAGGCTCGCAATGCTTGACTGTTCCCGCTCATACGATCAGTGTGGACTGTAACTCTGAATTAATCCCCTGGAATTTCGTCGGGAATATTATATGCCGTAGAAGAAGAAGGCAGGGTTGCGCTCACCATCTTCGAAAGTGATACGCAGCCACGCCTTCCCCAGCTTCGGGATATGGGGTGTTCCTACGGTTTTGCACATATCCTCATTGTCTGACAATGTAAAAAAAAAACACCGTTCACACTTCTAAAATAGAAAACATCAGATCCAGGACATACCAGGAAATAAATTAAATAACTAAATATAATGACAGCTAATTGCGTCTACGGTAACTACAAGTACACGGTGGACGAGTTTGATGGCACCAGGGTGATGGTGTCACGACATGATGACTCGTTCATTCGATAGAACGCCAATAGATCTACGCCAGTACGTTGCCAGAATACCATAGCCGATAAAATGAATATGTGCCACCATTGGTGAGAACATCCTACGAGGTCAAACGCACCTAAAAATGATACTTTAAGAACAGGAAACTTGTGCCTATTTGTCCTAAGAGTGAAGGGGGGGGGGAGGGTTTGAGTGCAAGAATGGACTTGCCCGAAATAAAAGAAACGGTAGCAGGAATATGAATTTGGTGGGGAGGGGGGGGGGGGACAAGTGTTCTACGGTACCATCAAAAGAGAAGAATCTCCAAAGTATCAATCCAGGGAAACGGGCATGATACTATCTAAAAGTGCGCGTAGAACAGAGCGCGTAGGAGCGCCAAGTAGATACAGTACGGCTGAGTTTTCGCTTAAAGACAGCTCCCGCGATAAAAGTGTCATGGATAGTTGCTTTTCAATTATGAAACAGTAGCTGATAAGTAATCCCCCAAAGAAAAAAAGCAAGAAGAGTCCTCAAGAACACCAAACAAAATCGCTCCCTCACAGTCACACCTCCCTGCGGTCTCTGTGCAACCCCTAGCTCACAAATCTCTCTATCACATCTCGCAGTAGTTGATATCACCCAGTGCAAAGAAAAGAATACAAAAAACAACAAAAAACACACTTGTAAAAACTCTTGAAAAGAAAAAACTTTCAAAAACTCGGCGTCCGAATTTAGGGTTACGGTAGCGTGCATATTTTAGTGTAGTGAAGTGCGTCGAGCTTTTGCACCACGAAAATTGGGTCGCTCGTGATTTTTACGCGTTTTACCTTGCGAGATGGGTTGGAAGTTGACTGTATGTGCCCCTAATGAATAAAATGTAATAAAGGAGAGCAGAATCATTCATGGGCACAAGCGCGGTCAGCGAAAAGGGCATGCGATTCCAATTAATGCCCGCCGCCCCAACAAAGAACAACTGAGCGGCCCTCCGTCAGAGGGCATCTAGCAAGTGGGCGGTCCAACTGGGCAGGCGTTAGAACTAGAACTTTCAGCGGCTGTAGCTCGCTCCTCGCTCGCTGTGGAGTCGCGAGAGTGGGACAGTCTCTTGGGGGCTGTACTACTTGCACAAGGAAGGACGACCATGTACTACTTGAGCGCGGGGGCTGTTTTTAAGCAGCGCCTGGATACAGGTAGAGAGTGGGAACAAACATACTCTTGCTTCCTAGCCTTATCGAGGAGATTCCATCCAACATCTTGGCCTGTA